TTCGGCATCTTGTGCTTACTTCCTTGCATACGGATGACAGCTGCGTGTGACTGACTTGATTTATTATCTGGTGCTTCACTTCCAGAGACAGTTGTAAGCACTGTGCAACTGCCTCGAGGATGCGTGACCATTTTAAAACAACGTGGTGCGAGCATCCCCCTTGCGCCGAGTGAGGGTTCTCGACCCCGCACATCATGATCTCCTCGACCACCATTATGGTTACCGCCAAAAAAAAAGAGACAGAGGTAAAAAAAAAACGGTAACCAGGTTGCCGAGTTCACGAAGTGAATTGGCTTGTTTTACAACGTCGTTGCCAAGCGACGAAAACCCAACCCCGATGACAAACACCGGGGGGAGGGGGGGGGGGGGGGGTAACGTAACAGCATGGCAGGAAGATGGATGTACATCAGACTTGTACCACAATACGCTCCGGGTTGGGGCATCTAATCAAGATCGTATCACTTCTTGCAATCCATCAATTCACTCACTGCTACTCCTGGTTACAAATTTCCGCAGAACATAAAGTTATCATCATCTCGAGCCAACCACAGCGAGATACACAAAATTGGCAGCGGCACCGCTCTTTCTACCTCCACGGCAGCCTTGGGTGAAGGTGATAGTACTCACGGATTCGGATCACCGTCCAGAAGCATGCCCTGGGTTAGAACATCCCACTCCTCAGTGGTAGGGTACCCGGACGTGAGGGCAACGCGGTAGGTCTTCTCGTGTCCGTATGAGGGGTGCGTCAGCGGGTTGATCTGAAAAACAGCGGCGGCGGCGGCAGCAATTGTAGCAGCAGCAACAGCAGGAGAAGCAGAAGCGGCAGCGGCGGCAGCATCAGCAGCGGCCACAAGTCGGAAGATCGCCCGTCGAATACTACGAACGTCGAACCGCAATAGCTGGCAAATATCAAAGACAAAGAAGGCGCGACACATTTTGGCCTCGCAGTCCAACACAAAAGGCACAGGATGAGGGCCGCCCGCCCGCCCACTCACCCAAGAGTTCTCGTTGGTCAGCAGCAGTAGGCCGCAGCTATCTCGATCGAGCCGGCCCACAGGCACCAGCCTCATCTCCAAGCCCCGGGGGATGGAGCCGACCGCGGTGGGCCTCCCGAGCTCGTCCGATACGGTGCAGATCACCCCCTTGGGCTTGTTGAGCGCGACCCACTTGATCTCGGAGTCGGGCCGCATGGACACGCGATTGCCGTCCACGTGCACCTGGTCCCTTCGGGGGTTCACCTACCGTACGTACAGCAGAATGGAGCAAAAATTGGCATGAGAAACCGAGAAAAAATGAGACACTGACCAAAGCACTGAAAATCGATAAACGTGAGAACTCGACGAAAAGGTGAGCAACTGATCAAAACACTGAAGACAAATTGACAAAAACGGAGAACTCGACAAAAAAGTGAGCTCTCCACGACGGCCGTCTTCTTCGGCTTATGCAGAACAACAAGGCCGGCCGCGAGAAAAGAACAGGCACTGGCAGCAGGCGTCGTGTTCTTATTTATATATCCCTCTGGTTCACTGAGAAAGGTCGTTAATTTGCACATCGAGACCCCACGAAATGGTCCCCAAAATTCAAAGTCGAGCACACGTTCAACATCAGCACCGAACACACACGTCCCACGAGTGGCTCCGTGTTCCAACTATGGCAAGCAGATAACGTGGTCAACCGACACCGCACGCGTTGTTCCACCTTAACAACACCTCAGACACCTACATGTAGCTGACCCATCCCCCCCCCCCTCCCAAGTGCTCACCTTAACCCCGAGCTCCTTAACCATCTTCCCATTAACCCTCACTCGCCCATCCAAGATCATCTGCTCGCATTGCCGCCGTGAGTCCAAGCCCGCGTGACTCAAGAATTTCTGAAGCCGCTCCTCTCCGCCTAGCGCGAACGCATCGGGAGGGGTCCCTCTCGCCCGCCCTCTTCCCCTCCCGCCGCGCCCCCCCCCGCCCCGCCCACCCCCGGGCATCACCATGACATGGGTTCTTGCTCTGGAGCCTGCATTTTTTGTCACGTCGGGTGGGAGAAGGGTCGGCAGCCCTACATGTTGGCTCGAGCTCAGCCTCTGTCGATACGCGATGCCGTTTGGTTGAGGTGCACTTATCGACGAACATGGAGTTCTACGTAAAGTCCAACTCTCTGGTACATGCTATTGCCATCACCTTACTCGGCTTGTAATGGGGACTTGGCGCACCCGAACTGGTGAGAATATTGTGGGCAATATTGAGCACACAATGGTTTGGGCAAGTGCAGCCTACAAGCTGTGTGGGCCTACTTACATAGAAGGAAACACCGAGTGACATCTATCTCAAAAGGTGGTACAGCATATTGTGTCATGTGTTGCATGTCCCAGAAACACATCTCACCATTCCGAAACCAGTACACATCTCGAAAACCAACACGAACGACAGTCATGTTGCAACCATCTCCTGTGTGGGTGCTCTCTCGTGCGTGCGTGTAGGGGGGGAGACTGCACGACTCGATGGACTTCAAGTGCAACCGGTGACTGCTGTCGTGTCAGTCAACAGAGGTCCTGCTTTACACACACTTTCTGCTGTTGCAGCAACCCGTTGTACATACCACTTTGCAGAGTAGATGCGGGAAGACTGCTATTCTATAATGCATCACCATAACACCTCACGGGCAGGCGGGTCCTCTTGCTACTCAAGCTCACCTGTACTTCTCTGCCGCACGCAGCAGGGTGACGAATCATGCCATGAGCGGCTGCCGACAATCCTTGCTCCGTTAGGGACACCACCAGTGAGGCGGGCCGAAGGTGGAGCCACAAGGCACTGAGCTGTCCCCAACAGCCACAACGCGGCGACCAAAGTCCGTGGCACTCTCGGATGTAGCCGTGCCACGGAGTACTCTCGTGGTGACGGCATGATGATGGCGCTGGTGTGTGCTTTGTGCTAGTGCAGCGTGCAGCGTTGGTCAAGGGGGCATCGTGGAATGACATGTTGGGGTATTCAGCCGGCCTGCGCGGCGTGTGTGCGGGCTATTCGTGAGGTTTTTGCCGTTTCTACGTTACGGTTCGCCTACAACTACATCACGTGCGCAACGGAGACACGATCTTCGTGATGAAAGATCGCAGCAGCCCCACGCTGATAACAGCGCAGACCCCGCAAATCGTCCACACCTTTCGGTAAACGAACTGTAGGTGGAGACTAGGCTCGAGCCTGGTCGTCAAGGGGTTGTGCTGTTAATATTGTCTCCCGCCACTCGTGTGAGTCTACTCGAGGAGTAGTCAAGCTGCGTGTTCCGCTCATACTGAATCATGGCTGGACCTGCTGAGGCATCGTCAAGGGCGAGCTCCACAAGCAGCTTCAATTCGAGCCAAGAGTTCTCCGCGTCGAGGGTGCTCTCGAACGGAGCTTGTGGCGTTGTCTCATCGGTGATATGGATCATCATCTCTGCTGGCCTATGTTTCCCGTGGTTGCTGGAGCAGCCCCCTGCTTCCAAGGCAGGGGACTCCCCCAAGTCAGTCGCGTGGTTCGTCGTGTTGGCCATCGACCTTTCGATCGGGGCTATGAGCGTCTTTTCTCTGTGGTTTCGGCGAAGCACTCTGAGCATCATGCTGCTAATTTGGGGCGCTGGCGGCATCGTGGCCACTTTCTTGGTGGGAAGTTTCGCGATGCTTCCGGCAGTGGCCACAATGTGAGTATAGAACACAAAACCAACGCTTGTACAAAATAGTTAGCTGAGTGGGTACCAATATACTGTATGTCAATGCCATTTGTACGGTGCTGCTGTTTCCGAATATGGTGTTGTTATCTTTGTTGTACACCACAGAGATCGGTCGTGCTGATTGCGCACAAACGAACTTCCGTTGGTAACGAGGATTGTTTTTGTTGTGGTGAACTCACGAGAGTCCTTGGTGATCATGTGGAAGACAAGCTCTATCTGCTCCGTACGATTTCTTCTATACACCGTTAACAACAGGTCGAGTGAAAGCTGGAATCTTGCTCAGCTATTCCAAGTAGCCTAGAAGTACATGGTAGTGGTATGTGCACCTAGTGTGGGGTGGTAGCAAGCTCTTTTACAATGTCCACCTCGTGCGCGACCGCCAACCCTGTTGACTTGGGCGGCAGATGCTGCTGTGCGGAAGAATTGTGCGTCTTGGGCGCGGCCGACATCTCCCCGCTGGACGATAGCTTCTGCTATACGACCCTAGAGCTCTGCATGGAAACGAAGTGGTCCCTGTGGTGCTACTACGGGGGAATCCTCCTAGCTATGACCTCCATCGTATTGCTCGTCAACTCGGTCGCCTTACATCACAAGGTACGCTCAGCAGCATCGTAATACCCGACGAGTCGGAAGTCTAAAAGCGTACGGTACAATCGCGCCTCTTCAGCCATTTCGTATTGAGGGAGGAAATCTCGCACTACATTGGTCTCTTCCTTCGTTGGACAAGCTGCCGACAAACACCCTCGTCTTCCTTCAGCGTACCGACCTGCTGCCAGCAGCACATTCCAGACGACTTTACGTTATCCACGTACACGGACACACCACACCGCCTCGGTTCGCTTCTCGATGTGGTATAATAGTGTCGAGGTGCTCGATGTGGTGTTGCGTTGGTGCAATGGAGTCTGCTCACGTCGATTTCATACATACGCAGTCGAATGACTTCATATTGTGGTGTTCATGTATTATCGGATGCCCTCTGTCCTCGAGGGCAAGGGAGGGGAAAGCAAGGAAAAATTGAGGGACCGCCTTAACGAGACATTGCGTTGATGAGGAAAAAGAACAAGGAGGGGTACGCCGACCCTAACCCTAACCCAACTTCCCGGATTGCATGCTGTATCCAACATGTTAGCTTCATATAAAAACCCTACGAAGGCTACTGAGCCAGAGAGCAGAGTGAACCTCACACGGCTCACACATACAACACACACAACCCAGAACACGCTCTGTAGTCGAACCAGAATCGGGCAGGTCCATCACAACACCACAAGTCTCCATTGCCGGCGCGCACGGACGCTTCCTGTTCCATCGCACCTCTTGCACAGCTCCACGGTGCAGTCTCGATCGAAGCGACCTCAGCCATGGCAGTTCCAGCAAATTAGTCCCTTAGCCGACCAATCATCGTCCCCGGCTGCTTTGTGCTCACCGTCGGAATCCTCGGACGTTTCGTTGTTACCGTCTCTGCCGTGTCCACCTCCTCGACGACCACGATTCCCACAATTTTTCCACGACCCCCAGCCCGACCACGTCCGTCAGCGACGAGCGCATAATGATCTGCTGGGAAGTTCTTCTTGCTCTCTTGCTGAGAACGAAATGCTTCGCCTGTACGAGGCTGATGATCTCATTGCCACCCAAAATCCGTGTGCTGTTCCAACTCTCGCATTATTTCTGATTCTACTTTCGAATCAAAGTAGAGTTGAATCGGAAACAATTCGAGAGTTTAATCGGAAACAGGTGTTGGGTCGCAAAGAGATCGTCCATCTGGTACAGACGCAGCATGACCTCCTCAGCAAGACACAGAAGAATGTTCCCCAGCAGATCATCATGCGCTCGTCGCTGACGGACGTGGTCGGGTCGGGGGTCGTGGAAAATCTGGTGGGCATGGAGGAGGTCGAGGAGGTGGACGTTGCAGACACCGTAAAAACAAAGCAAGGTAGAGTGAGGAGCGAGCCTCACAAGGCTCGCACACACAGAACCCAGGACACTCTGCAGTCGAACAGGCCAATAGAAGAAGTAAGCTCCCAACCGGCACGAAACCGTCACTTTTGGCGAGAACATACCGACAGAGTGTCACGGCGTTGCGGAAGCAAAAAACATCGTCGTGCATCCTACCACAGAACAAAAAAGTTACAGTATCGTCCACGTGAACATGCCATGAGCACGGAAGAACATCTTCCCCGCAGTGCCGGTTTGATACGGCTGTGACACCTTGTTGCAAATATTTGATAATGCTAATAGAATTGCATGTCCATTGTGCATTATCAAATATATTTCCGAGTGTCAGATGGCGTTCCCGTGGCAATAAAATAAACTTTCGGGGGGTACATTCCCTTGAGGATAGTATGGAACACAGGCACGGAATCGTTCAAGGTTGGGGGTTCTGGTGAGAAGAAAATACTTGGGTGGCATCGTTCATGTCCGAGTTTCATCAAATAGACTCGACAACCAAATAAGGGCCGACAGCAGTGGTGACCGAGCCCGCTCGGAAAATAGTTGCAATCCTCGACAAGCCCCACGCTAAGCCCCTTCCAAATGATGCCCGCGCCAGCCCCGCACAAAGCTGGCCGATGAAAGTCCTTCCGACCATTTCCCCTCCCCGTACAGCACCTAAGTTTGTGATAACCACGATAACTCGACTAAACGCCACTCACCCTTCCCACCGGGGGAAATGTTGTTGATGATCGCATGAAACGAAATCAGACCCTCTTGGACTGCGAACGCCGGTGGAACGAGGCCGCCAAAGCCATCCGGGCCGCCAACCGCTCCCGGCGCCGCCGCCAGCAGCTCTGGGAGCAAGAGGTCTATGGAGGCGGCAGCTACGCGGGAAGTCTCTCCGGCGCACGGCCGCCCAGCACCCGACGGACCGGCGGCGCCGACGACAACAGCCACGCCGGTGGCTCGACGCTGCTGCTGAATCCCGCCGAGACCGCGAGCTCCCGCGGCCGCGGTGGTGCCCCCGCCGTAGCGCCCTCGTTCGAATCCCCGGCTCGCGGTTACCCCCGAAAGCCGGTCGCCACGGCCGAGGTTTGCGGCGACAGGGTCACGCCACCCGTGGAGTTTGCCGCGCTCTACCCAGCGAGAGACACGGACATTGAGATGAGCAGGCTGGGCTCCCCAACTTCGGCCGCGATGTCCCAGAGCGGCCAAGATGAAGGCGACGGTAACTTTGGCGGCGGCGGGGGTGGCGGCGGTGGCGGTGGGTTTTCGATCGGTGCGTACACGGGCGGGACGAAGAACCGCCTCAGCAACCTTGAGGAGGAGGCTGCGAGGATATCGTCGTGGGGCAGGGGTGAGACAGCCAACACGGGGGCGGCGATGAACTGGGTGGCCGGCGGAGGGGATGGGGACGGTCAGATCACACCGAAAACGGCCCTAAGGTTCAAGACCAGCGCGCTCTCTAGAGCGATGCACCGCTGAAAGCGACGCGGTGTGTAGTTTCAAAACATTTGCGATACCTCCTGTGTAACGGTAGTTGATATGTCGTAGAGGAGGGAAATGCCAACCTTCATGCTGTTTTTTTTAGACATGGTGGCAGAGTCCAGGTCGCGACGGTGCAAAACTAGAGAATGGCACAACCTCTTGCCCGTAGTCGGCTGGGACTTCAAATGTGCACGTGCGGGGGAAGCAGCATTCGGCGGTTACAGTTCCTACGCGCAGGATGGTGTGGTAGATTCCTTACACAAGCTGAGCCCATGGAAGTGACCCCTTCGACTTGGGATTTTTCGGGCGTATGCGAGTCAAGGCGAGCTCATCGCACCACATCGACTAGTGTGATACGCTGGTACGCCACAATTATGCTAGTGGCGCGTCTCGTCAGCTAGATGCCAACCAAAGCTCCTCGCTTCGTAGGTATGCCGTATATTCACGTATATTGGCGCTTTGAAGGGGACGACTTTTGTTTCGCTCACGAACGGCGCACGTTCGGAAGAAACAGGCATGTTTGTGAAAGGATAGCGTCAGCAGCGCGTGCAGGGAGGACGGAGTGGCCGTCGTGCACCTGTCGGTGGCGGACCAGTTAATGGTGTCGGGGCACACAAGAGCCTACAGGAGAGAAGGATAACTGACTGCGGGATGGAACACAAGCCACCGGCCAAAGATATGCGGAAGACAGGAACCACGACGGGGAGGGGTGGGGGGTGAGTAAGAGGCGCTACCATCAGCAGGTACTACACTGTAGTGAGGAACCTATCGATTTTTTTAGTTATTCTTGCCCAATTGTTTTTGGTCGTCTCGGTTCATCTCCGGGACTTGTTTCTTACCCTCATCAACGGCTTTCACCGCTGATGGCGATTGTTTCAAACAAAAAAATTTCGCTCCCGTTGTCCACGGAAAGTACTGATCTACCTGGGACGCCAGTAGTTGCAATCCTAGGGGCGGTTCCTGTTGGCTGACTCTCCCCATACCATAACTCATCCCGCAAGGGGAGGTTTTCCTGGCTGGTGGTAACCTGACAGATATGTAGATACCCAGCACGGCAGCCAGGGGGCTGCGCAGAAAAATCCTAGGGCGGCACGTACTTTCACTGCCTCGCATGATGCTTGTGGTTGCTTTTGGCATCTGCTTTTAGTTTCATGTGCGAAGGCCCCTCACGCACCTCGAAGGTGCGTGGAACGGAATTGGCGTGGTCGGCGAAGACAGAACCGGACCACGGCATTTTCCTGGCTGGCCTCTGAAGGGCGCGAGGATACGAAATATCTCCAGGTTTACTCTCGCGGTACATTGGTATACTTCAGTATGCTTTGTTCGGGACTCTGCTTCCTCTGTGTGCAGCAGGACTATTGTTTCTCTACTCTTTGGGCTTGTTGACATAAGACATGTAACCATTGTTTCACGCATGGTTTGGATTTTTCTAGAGTTTTTACTAGACCATATTGTAATACGTTTAGGTTTCCTTGTGACCACGAACAACATTGGTTTCTTTTCCTTTGGAGATGTGGAAGGAAGAGGTACTGTTGGATAGGTGTCAGACTGGCTTTTTGCCTCGAAGATACCAAAACAGCATAACCAGCGTGGGCCCTCGTTACTCCATGATGGTTTTTGGCTCAAGGCTAATATTCTAGTTCGGGGGGGTTCGGCTACCGCAACCGGACCAACCTCGAGTCAGTTTATTGTTGTTGGATTTTTTTGCGTTGTCCCACTGTGGGCTCGCTGCCTCTAGTAGTAGTGCGTAAAGCAAGGTCAAGGGGAAAACTGACAAGAGGTATGTACACCCTAGAACCCAGTTCTACGGCTGTGAGTGGCAGAGGACGAGGGTGCCAAAGGGGCAGGGGCGTAGGGGTCTGGAATTTGTCGTGGAAACATCGGAACGGCACATGACTCTCATGTAAGCGGTTTGGGAACATGGTGGTGGAAGTTGAGTGACGTTGGTGCATAGCGCTGAGCTCAGGCGTGAATGTTCACCTCCAGAAACAAACTTGACCTTGAGTGCAAGGGGAGCGTGTCTCGCGTCCTAGCGACGTCGGTGGCGAGAGATGCGTACATACGTGGGGCTGTGGGTAGGGACGAGGAGGGTGGCATTGTGTGGTATCATTTAACTAACTGTGGGTGGGTGCTCCCGGTGTTCGATCGGAGAGCATGGGGTAATGAGCTATTTTTCGTAAGACTGATCCTGGCATGCTCGCATTCCAACGCCAACTACAACACAGGAAAATATTACACAAACAGTAAGTTTTAAGGTTTGGTAAGGTGTGCACATTCTGGAAAGGGACTTGGAAGCACACCAGAGGTGGAGAGGGGTAGCTTTGGGGGGAAATGGCCCATTGTTTGTTTTTCCGTGTCGTCTATTCTGGGCGCCACTGAACACCGTTCACTGTATGTTTGGCGCACCACCCGGGGTCTCACCGATAGGACGAATCTTTCATCAGCGTCGATTTTATGCTGTTCTTTTGAAGTCGGCATCTTGTACGACTGTTTTCTTCGCGAGCAGCTTCCGATGGAAGTGTGCAACATGTCCGAGGCGTCAGCGTGTGGGAGACTCAGTGGCTTGTGGCTATCAATAAGCGGCACGGGTGGGTTGGCGGATTCTACCTCTTGTGGTGGTAGCAATGTTCCCGAGGTGGTTGCCGTTGGCTTGAAAAACGTTTGCTCTTGAAAAGATGCCAACAACCAGACCGAGTCAACGTCAGAGACGCCCCCGACAAGGCCTGGGGACGTTACAGATACCCCACTGATACGGGTGCAATACAACTCCTCCGATCAGCATTGAGGATACGTTCGGGCGCGTACAGCCTGACTCCGGAGATTAGCCACCGTGTACTCTGTTCAGTTGTTTTCGGCTCTCGTTCAAGAAAAGTCTGCCCACCACGAGCCGCTGGGGTTTGCTCCGCACTCAAACGGCCTACTAGGTAACGCCGAATCTCGAAGCCGCACACCCGCAAAACCAGCTGACTCCCTTCACGTAGCTTGGCCACCGCCGAGCTGTGTCGAGACGCTGAACAAGGACATGGTATCGCTCATGTCGTCGCTCCCGGCGTCGCTGAGGTTCCCCGCGCCCGCGCCGCCAACATACTTGATGCTTACGGCTGAGCTCCCATGACCGTGACCGCCTCCTAGCGCACCACCGCCTTCCTCCGCCCCGACTAGCCGACGAGAACTACCGCCGCCGCCACCGCCGCCACCAAGGTGCGACTTCTTCGATACCCCTTTCTTGAGGGCCCGTTTTTGGTTCGCCCTCTGCACGGCCCGTTTCAGCGAGGTGGGCACCTTTATGGAGTGTTCGACCAGGAAATCGTGGTAGTTTTCTCGCCGCTGGTGGACGAAGGTCAAGCAGGTGAGGATCATTTTCTGGGCTGGGGGGTTCTGGTGATCCTCCGGCAGGAACGAGGCGCCCACCAGCGACCAGAAGATGTACGGCGTCACCGCGTGTCCGCTCGTGAGCACCTGTCGAAGTATCGTGTGGTACAAGGGGGGCGTTTGTTGGTCGCCCGCCGCTCGCTACACCAGAACGGACAACGGTACTTTTGAACGCCAATGCATCTGCACAGAAATACCGTGCTTGTGTTTCTTGCTTGTCTCATCCCATCCCATCCCATCCCATCCCATCCCATCCCATCCCATCCCATCCCATCCCATCCACACTTTACGTTCGGCGGATGACTCAGTTGAGAAGAACAAGAGATTGTTTCCGCCGGTTCGCTCGTGTCGCTGATAAACAGAACAAGAAACACCGAAACCGTGCGTGCAGAGAGCTGAGCAATGCCCCAGCATTTCAAGCAAACCACCGATTCATGACACAGTCAGTACCTTGTGCAAGGCAGCTGCAAGCTTGGTCATGCATCGCGGTACCTCCCCCCCTTCCTTTCCCTGCACCATGATTAGCATCCGTCTCATCACGGACGGAAACCAAGAGCCCTCCAGACTAGTTGCCTCGTCAGCGCGTTGCTTCGCAGCCACCTGAGTCAGCCACAAAGCGCGCCGCGAGTTTTGTTGGTGACGGGTGGCTTTCGAGGTGATATGGCGTTTGGTGTTACTGTAGGTCCGCAACTACCTGCATCTACGAAGTGTAAAGCATCCCGTTGGTGGTGATGGTTGTGACTTTAAGCACAAGAGCATTCGTGTGTCTCGATCGCATCTTCGCACAAATTTGATGTGAGAAGCGACTGAGATTTCCTGTTCCTGAGCTTTTTTCCCTATCTATGCGCTACAACAAACAGCTGTCTCTCTGTAAGATAAATTCAAGGCTGTGAATTGTGGTGTCTGTCATACACTGCTAGATTCCTACAGCCTTTTGGGAGTGGGGGGCACTTTAGATAGACATTTTATGTGCAGGATCCTTCGGCAAAGTGTTAGTATTAAGCGCCTACACGACTTTCTTTTTCACCTGCCGACGCATGACCTTGGCCACGCTCTCGAACGTCCGTTTTCCTTCTCCGGCTGCCGCAATCTGATGGATAGGTTGCACGGACCGAAAAAAAAGTGGTGATAGCCGGGGGGGGGGAGCGCATTCGTACTGCAATGGGTATATTTTTGAGAGATTGGGACGAGGCATACAAGTGTTGCACGCTGCCGCCTGATTGAGCTTTTCCCAGAGGTACAATGTATGTGCCAAAGGCGCTCGCCAATGGCCGACGGTGTATCTACGGAGTAAACTCGCCTGCAGGCGCTCGTTACGTCCGATTTTTAGTCCCTATTTAGCTGCGTATGACTGGTCATTACCGCGGACTATTTCGGTGACTGCCAAACTCGAACAAGCTTACACGAGGCACAGCAGTTCCGACTAACACGATTGACTTGTACCGGCAATGTAGCCTCCAAGGGATATTGTCACAGTTGGGGGCAGCGGTTTGAGGGTAGGGGTCGTAAGGCTGCATGAAACCGTACCTTCACAGTGTCCATCATTCTCCTCATGTCCTCGTCCCAGTCGAAGTCTCTCCGGCTGATAGATTCTGACAAGTCCTTGTCCAGGCTGACCTGCCGCA